AGCACAAGACCTTCACACTGAGCTATCCACACAGTTCTTTTTATTTTTTATGTTTTTGAGACAGAGTCTCACTACGTAGTTGAGACTGACCTGGAACTCACTATGTAGCCCAGGCTGGTCTTGAACTCACAGCGAACCTCCTGCCTCAGCCTCCCGAGTGCTGGGATTACAGGCATGTGCCACCATGCCCGGCCTCTTTTTATTATTTTTAAACTCTGGAATAAGGTCTTGCTAAATTCTCGAGGCAAGATTTGAACTACAATCTTCCTCCCTCAGCTGCCCAAAACACTGGGATTACAGGACTGTGCCACCATGCCCAGCTTTTTTCCAACTTTTTTTTGTGCAAATCTGAATGACAAGTCTGATCAACAACCACAGAGACACATTCTAAGATAGTGGAATTGCTTAAATGTTAAACTACTAATATTTTGTATTTCTGTGTCTCTTCTCAGCAAAATATCCTTAAGTTTGAGTCCTAATTTGAGTCCTAGCTGTGTGTCTTTGAGCAAACTCAGATCTTCTCAGACTTAATAGGAAAAAGACAATAGTATTCTTAAGAGTTAGTAAGTTAAAAGCCAAGTATATACCTTGTACAAAAGAGCTGTTTGCTGTGTATTTGATTTGATATGTTGATATTATTTTATTTTCAAATTTCATTTAATTTCTAGGTTTTAAAAATAGTAGCGTCTCATTGGGCACAATAGCACATGCCTGTAATTCCAGCACTGAGGAAGGCTGAGGCAGGAGGATTGCAAATTTGAGCCTAGCCTAGACAAATTAGCAAGTACCTGCCCCTCCCAAAAGAGAAAAAGTATTAGAGTTATTCCTAAAACTTAGTCATTTAACCCAGAGAAATAGAAGTTGATTTCTTTTCTTTCTTTCTTTTTTTTTTTTTTTTGGTCGAGACATAAAAAATTGGCTCACACAAGTTTTAAAAAGTATTTGTAATTAAAATGGCACTTTGCTATTTGGTCAGACTCTACTGGTTAATCAACCTTGCACAAGCAATTTAGTTACTGGTTAAAGACCATTCCTAAAGGTAAACATTTACATTTCCAAAACTAACTGTTGTTAATTGGATGTTGTCATTGTTAGTCAAGAAAGCCACTGAGAATTTAAAAACTGACCACATTGAAATCAATGTCTACTAAGAAATGGAAAAAAAAAAAATTTCAAATGCCTGGGCTTCAAAAACAGACGCTAATTTTTAAAAGCAAATTTTTTTACATCAGAAAAGAAGGGCATCACCATATTTGTTCCAATTATTTTCCTTTAGGGTCAGATAAAAGAAACAAAATTAAGAATCACATATTTTTGGTTGTTAGATCATTCTTACTTCCATTTTCCAATTTTTCAATTCCTGCATAGACTTTCTACTAAAGATGTTATAAGACCTTTATTTACTGAAGAGAATTAAATTTAATTTTATGCTAAAATTTCTTTTTTTTCAGCTTTAATTGAGTTTATTGGTACATTTTAGGGATACAGTACAGTTACATTTATTGTTGGGATCTTGTACCTCTACATGACAAGTCTTGATTCTCATTTTTTCCCCTTACCTCTGCCCTCCCTTCACCCCCTCCTCCCCTCTATGCTAAAATTTCTGACGGTTGTATAAAAGCCCTAGAAGAATTAGAGGGATGATACACTACACAGGGATTCATTGCTTACTTTTAAATCAAAGAAACAATCAAAGGAAACTTGCTAAGCCATTGCTAAGAAATCCTTTTTAGTCTTTTTTTTAAACTTTTTTCCCTACTACCCACCATCGGTTTTTTTTTGTTATAAAAGTACTTTTAAAAGATAAATATAACTTATGTTAGAAGTGATAATTATTTTGCTCAATATTTTATTCTAGTTATTAAAAATTTGTCAAAATACCCTTGACAAACCCCTCAAATTATTTTCCACATAATACTGAAAATGAAGTTTGGGTTGTGCGTACCTAAAGATGATCTGCAGCTCTCCTGATATTGAGAACTGAGAAATTCTCCTTTCTTTACATTTACTTGCTAAGAACTGCTTGATTAAAATGAAACAAAACAGAATTTTACACAGGTTATCAGGTCTTTAGGATCTTTATAGGGTTTAAGTATCCTCCCTCTGTCTCTAACTAGATATTATCCTATTTTTCTCCTCTGCAAAAATGCTCAAGTTTCTTGCAGTGGTTCGTATTTCATTGTTTTCATGGTCTTCCTTCTCATTTCTTTTTTCAGATCACTGAAATCTTTGCAGTGTAAGATTGTCTTTGGTGAAACCACTTTCTCTGTGGGGTTACTTTATTGCTAAACCAAAGAAAGACTTTTTAGTCTTTATCTTATGGGGGCTTCCCTGAGGCATTAACCTGCTGGAATGCACTCCTGAAACCCCTTGGCTTTCTGCAACAAAGCGTCTCCATTGCTTTTCTGTAAGTCTCCAGTTTCTCTTTCCCAGCCTCTACCTGAGCTTCCATTAACCTCACTATCTCTTTGACTCCTGACTTTTTTTTTTTCTTTACCCTGTGATCTCATCCCTGGCCATGACTCCTGTTAAATAATGGGTAATGAATCGCAAATCCTTATCTGTTGGCCAGATATTGCCTAGGACCTTCAGAGTCCTAAATGTAACAGCTTCCTCCTTGCCAGTTTCTATCACGCTTCAAATCTGAATTTTTGTCTTTGCTCTCACCTCAGTGAGCAGCAGAACCATTTATCCCTCTGCTCAAGTCGGAAACTTAGGAGTCTTTTTTTTTTTTTTTTTTTTTTTTTTTTGAGACAGGGTCTCACTATGTAGTCAAGACTGACCCGGAACTCACTATGTGGCCCAGGCTGATCTAACTTGGCAGCAATCCTTCCTGCCTCAGCCTTCTGAGTGCTGGGATTACAGGCATGTGCCAACATGCCCGGTTTAGGAGTCATTCTTGATATACCTTTCCCCTTACTGGCTTATAATGGGACACCTGGTCCTTTGGATGCTAGCTTTTTAGTGTCTTGAATTGTCCTGTCTCCATTTACATTTATTTCTCTAATTTGTAAACTTGTTTATTTTGCTTTGCCAAATGAATTCTGAGAGTTGAAACCAAGGTTTTATGCACATGAAGCATGTGCTCTACCAAACCTTTCTTTACATAGCAAAATGTGGATCTGATCCTGTATTTTTCCCGCCTAATTCTCAGTGTCTCCCCCACTGCTTACCTCTGAGATAAACCCAAACCCTTTGAGACAGTCTGCAAGACCCCATGACCTTGACCATGCTTGCTGTGTACTGCATGTTATTCTGATTCCAGCTTTTCCATTTTCTATGCCACTATGAGCAAGTTAGCTGTAAATCAGAGGTAATAATACAGCTTTGAGCAGTACATGAGGTAATTTTCAATAAGTTTCAAATGAATGAGGTAACTTTCAATAAATGCCAGCTATTATTTTAAATAACAACATCCCTGTTCACATCTTTGAAAGTAGTACTATAATTTCCTTAAGACAAATTCTTAAAGCGGATTGCTGTGTATGCATTTTGAAAATCTTTTGAAATTGTATTGCCAAATTGCCTCCGGAATAGTTATACCAATTTATAGTCTCATCAGTGGTATTGAGAAAGCCTGTTTCTCCCCATTCTCGACTCAGTCGTAAGATTACCCATTTTTGAAATCATTGCCAAATCAGTAAGTGAAAAATCGTCTAGCTTTTGCAACTTACGTCTGTTTACAAACCTGCTGCAAGATCAGATATACACCAGTAACACTGTTATTGCTATTTACTCTTCTTGTCTGTCCACCTGTTTTTTTCTCCCTCCTCTCTACTTCTCCTCTCCCTTCTCCTCTCTTCCCCTTCCTTCTCCTTTCCTCCTCCATTTTCCTCTTTCTCCCCTCAAAAATCGTCTAGCTTTTGCAACTTACGTCTGTTTACAAACCTGCTGCAAGATCAGATATACACCAGTAACACTGTTATTGCTATTTACTCTTTGTGTCTGTCCACCTGTTTTTTTCTCCCTCCTCTCTACTTCTCCTCTCCCTTCTCCTCTCTTCCCCTTCCTTCTCCTTTCCTCCTCCATTTTCCTCTTTCTCCCCTCCCTTCCTCCCTTTTTCCTTTCCTTTTTTTTTTTTTTTTCTTTTTTCTGTTTCTTTTTTTCTCTACACAGTGCTGGGGATCAAACCCAGGGCTTCAAGCGTGCTAGTCAAATTCTCATAGCCCAGCTTGGGTGACTTTATGACTTAGGAAGCCCCTGTCTCAAAATAAAAAATAAGAAAGGGCCAGGAATGGAGTTCAGTGAGAAGGCGCTGGTTCAATCTCCAGAGACGCCCTCCTGCAAGGGAACCTTTTAAACTCAAAATATAAACCTCTTAGATGAGGTGCATAGGATGCTATGCTGAGAACTTGGAGTACTGTTTCTTTTTCAGGTTTAGTTACTAAATAGCTATGTGATCTTGGGTAAGTCCACTAACCCATACCAAGTAACGTTTCTCTTCTAGTTCTCACATTATATAAGTAAAAAAACTTTTCTAAGTAGTGCTAATTGTAGAATATAGTATTCCCTTCTACTCTGCTGTAAATACTGACCTCCTCCAACAATATACTGTCTACAGAGAGAACTTGCATCTTTCCAGAGCATTTAATTTCTTTGTACAGTGCCACGAAGCCTAAGGCAATAGCAGCAACTACTATCCAAAAAGCATAGTGAACCCCTCAACATGAAGTCTTACTGTGTGTGTGTGTGTGTGTGTGCGCACGTGTGCGAGATGCACAACCCTTTCAATGTCTGTTGAAAGCTAAGGATCCTTTCAAAGAAAAACATATAAACATAAATTCACAAAATTTCAAGGGCCTCCTAAACCCTAAGAAGCCCACTGGAGTACTCTACAAATCCATGAGTCCTAGGCTAACAACATTTGGAACATTAAAAGGATCCCTGGAGATGGACAAAATTATAAAAAAAATGCTCCCTTCCTATTGGAAAACACAGCTGCCAAATTAAATAAGAAACCTTTATAGAGTATTACTAAAACTCTTTAAAAATTAACTTACGATGCTAGGCATGGTTCCTGTCAGGATGCTAGCTAGTCAGGATGCTGAGGCAGGAGGGCTGCAGGTTTGAGGCCAGACTGGGTAACTCAGTGGGACTCTGTCTCAAAATAAAAAATGAAAGTGGGCTGGGGTTATAGCTCAATCATAGCGTGCTTATCTAGCATGTGCCAGGCCCTGGATTCAATTCCCAGTCTTGCAAAATAAAACAATAAAAACAAACAGTTTTTAAAAGCTGACCTATCATGCTTACTTGTAACTCTTCTTTCCTCACCAGAAGGTAAGTTCCGTGAAGGAAGGGGTCTTGACTGTCTCATTTGTAACCATATTTCCAGGGCTTAGGTGTGTGCCTGGCACTCACTGCTATGTAGGCAGCAATCACGGCTCAACCAATGAACTTCAGCTGGTTGGATTAAGATTTTAAGAAGATCTAAGCACCTCCATATTTATTTGTAACTAAAAACTTCGGTGCCCCTCTTCATATTTAACTTAAACTGAATTCAGTAGTACACCAGACACTTGCATGTACTAAGGGAAAAGAGCTTTCTGTGGATTTGGTTATAAGATTTCCGAGCCCGTTTTACCGGTGCCCTAAGTATACAAGCTTTGTCTACCTCTTGGGAATCTGCCACACACTGGTGGCAATAGTGTGCTGGACATCATTTTGGCTTAAACCTGTCTGTGTCTGTAATTTTGTTAGGAATGTCACATTATGTAGGTTAGTTTGGGAAGAACTGACATCTTTGCCATATTGGCTCTTCCAATCCATGGATTAAGTCACTTCAATTATTTAGGTCTTCATTAAATCCCTCATCAGCATTTTGTAATTTGGGGCATGCAGATACTCGACGTGTTCTGTTAAGTTATACTTACATGTTTCATATTCTTTGGAGCAATTATACATTTTTAAAATTGCTGTTTCTGCACGTTTGTTATCAGCATACGTAGAAGCCTTTTTTAATATAAAAAGCAGAAGTGTACCCTTCAGTAAAGTAAACTTGAATTGTTTCCCCTTAACCAGCTGGACTAGTATTTATCCCAACATTCAAAGATCTCCATAATGTGCCTCTGAATCTCTTAAATTTGACTTCATACCTAATTGCTAAATACCAGCAGCACCTACTACTGGGTCTGCTCATCTTTCACCTGAATACACCTTAGTCATTCCACCTCCAAGTTTTGGTCATGCCAGTTCCTCTCTAGAAAAGTCCTTTACCAACTCCTTTGCCACAAAATAAATATTAATTGTCCTTTAAGGAGCAGGTCAAAGCTGTTTATAAGAAGCCTTCTTTTAAAAATTCCTATGTCAGGTACAGTGGCACATGCCTGTAATCTCATCTAATCAGGAGGTCCCAAGTTCGAAGCTGGCCTGGGCAATTTAGTGTTACTCTAACTCAAAAAAAAAAAAAAAAATGGTCCAGGGATGTAGCTTAGTGGTAGAGCACCCCTGGGTTCTATCCTTAGTACTGCAAAACAAACAAAAAAAACAACCTTCCCACCTTGCTTTTCTCTGGACTAAACCTATACTGTATGCCACTCAATCATTAGTTTTTAATTAGCTTTAGTCTGCCTTGTTTCACTAAGACGATCTGGAGTGAACAGACCCCTAATGCTCTCATAGCACCACATAAATAGGAAGACACTCCAACTTAATTATAAATAAAAAAAGAGTGAAAGGTTTTTTTGTTTGGTACTGAGGATTGAACTCAGGACCTCGCGCTAAATCCCCGGCCCTCAGTCTTTTATCCAGGCACATCTGTGTTGTCCACTCTTTGTATAAGGACGCTGACTCTTCCTTCCTTCAAGCAGATGCGAGAAGCAGCTCCTTTCCAATTCCTCCCTCCAAACTTCTACAAACTGCAGGTCTGTGGCTAGAGCTCGGGCAATCCCAGAACGCTGCAGTAACATCTCCCGGCCACCAGAGGACAGGGGCCAGGCAGCGGAGCACAAATCTGCAAGGGGTCACAGGCACAGGCTGAAAAGTTGGGGCTCCGTCTTGTAGCCTTCAGGCTTTCGGTACAGCATGAAGTCTCTGCTGTCTTCCATCTCCCATGGGCTCCTTTTCCCGCTCTGAAGGACGAGCTGAAAATACCCACAAGCTTTCGCCATCACGCGAACCTTGAACGATTACCAATCAAAATGAATGCACTTCAGGGGCAGGATATAAAGGCAGGAAAGTAATGAGAGACGTACTATCTTTCTAACCAACCCCAAACCCACTTCAGAGTCCTTTGCCAATTAAAAAAAGTCCCCTAGGCAGTGTCCACATACTCGACAACAAACACCCCCCCCGGGGGGGGGAGGTGATGTCCCTACTCTGGTTTAGTGCAAAGGGAATGTTCTAAGGGCTAGACTATGCCGACAAGCATTCTGGCTCTGGAGCGGCCCCCTCGCAGTGCGCTTTTCTGTCATTAATCACATCTTTGTTATGTGATATCCACGTGAGTCCTCCTCAGAAGCTGCTTCATGCTCAAATGCACAAAGAACACCGGAATAAAGCTCCGATTGTCCTAAGTCAGCGATTCCAAGTCCTGGTTTGTCACCACCTCAGGTCTCCAGTTTTCCATCGTGTGTAATGCCGTCTCAAAACAAAGCTATTTTAATGAGCTCAAATAAGAAAATGCACGCGGTATGTGTTGCTCAATCAACACAGGTCTCGCACCTCTCAAGGGGCGATGTGTCCCTGGTGATTTTAAAGATGATTTTGTGATGCCTGGTGTAGCAAATATTTTAAGGTGAATTCTAGGCTGCTCATATTCATTTTATTTGTAACTACTGTATAAGCAAAGTAAAATAGCTTAGGAACATTCGTGAGCGGGGAAAGGGGGGAACGACCGAATTAGCCCAGTGCCCGCCAACACCAGAGAGATTTTTTCTCAAAAGTACCTGCAACTTCTCCTAAGTCAGCAGAACCCGGCGCCTGGGGTTCGACAGACTTCTCTTTCTTTCTTTTCTTTTTTTTTAATGACCGCAATCCTCTCAAATCCCAGTTTGCCTAAAACCGTCCACGGACCCGGGCGAAGGCTGCGGTCCGGGTGGGCGGGATCCGCACTACCTGCGGGGCGCGGCGCGGCGGG